GTGCAATCTGTAAGGCCTGTAGGGACTTAAGAAATTGGGATTCAGACAAGTCAATTAGCACATCTGAAGGCAGCTTGGGAAGCAAAGGGGGTGGTCGGCCATACATTATTTCATAAGGTGTTAGGCCTTGAGTATATGGGGTATTTCTGACCCTGTATAGGGCAAAAGGTAGGAGGCCTGTCCAGTCATCACCAGTTTCCAGGGTTAATTTGGTCAAGGTCTCTTTAAGGGCCTGATTCATTCTCTCTACTCGCCCTGAGCTCTGGGGGTGGTATGCGCAATGTAGCTTCCAATTAGTCCCCAGTGTTTTAATTAACTCTTGAGTTACCTTAGAGATGAAGGCTGGTCCATTGTCTGACCTGATCACAGAGGGGAGTCCATACCTTGGTATTAGATCATCAACAATCTTTTTAACCACCATTGAGGCAGTTTCCCCCTTTGTGGGAAGTGCTTTGACCCATCCTGAAAATGTATCTACAAAAACTAGGAGATATTTATAGCCATACTCGGAGGTTTTACCTCAGTGAAGTTCACCTCCCAATGGATTCCAGGCACAGTGCCCCTCTGCCTTCTGGCTGGGGGATGACTTTTCCTCTTGGATTGGTAACCTGGCAGGAGCGACATCTGGAAAAACAGCTCTCAATCATTTTGGTTAGATGGAAGATGTGGTATGGAGTCAGGAGTTCTTGTAACTTTCTTTTCCCTAGGTGAGTCCTTTTGTGGAGTTTATATATTAAGTCCTCTGCCAGCTTATGAGGTAGAATGAGCCTCCCATCAGAGGTGTATCTCCAACCATGCTTGATCTTGGTATTTTCCAGGGAAGTCAAATCCTGATCATCCTGAGCTGAGTAGGAGGACTCTTCTGGCAAGAGGTGTTCAGGCAGGATAACCAGTAGGTTCAAGGCTGTTAGGGCTGCTTCTCTGGCTTCTAGGTCCACTTTCCTGTTTCCCTGTGCCTCCAGTAAATCCCCTTTTTGGTGCCCCAGACAATGGATGATGGCCAGTCTCTTTGGTAACCACATGGCCTCCAGGAGTTTTAAGATCTCTTGTTTATTTTTGATAGTTTTTCCTTGTATATAGGCCTGTGGACATGAGCCATAGGGAAAGCGTAATGGCTATCAGTGAAAATGTTAACAGTCTGGTCTTTACTTAGCTTTAGGGCCTGAGTCAGGGCAATTATTTCATCCCTCTGGGACGACATCCTGCCTGGTAGAGAGGAGGCCCACACTGTCCGCGATGGACTGATGACTGCTGTCCCCATGTACCTGGTTCCTTCCTTAATGAAGCTACTTCCATCCGTGAACAGAATTAAATCAGGATGGGGCCATGGAACATCGGTCAGGTCTTCCCAAGTCCCATGTAACCTGCAGAGTGCCTCCAGGCAGTTGTGCAAGGCCTCAAGATCCAGTTCTGGCAGCAAAGTGGCAGGATTGAGAGCTGTGCTGGAGAGGTGCTGGAGAGGAACTGGATGCAAGGGGGGTTAAGGAGCAAGGCTTGATAATGCATCAACCAAGCATTCGTCATCCATCAATTGGGGGGATTTTTAAGGACCCCCTCAATAGAGTGAGGGGTGGTGATCATAAGGGGCTGTCTCAGCGTGAGCTTGTCTTCATCCTTAACCTAATGGCTTGTTTTCTGGCTGGTGACAGCCACCTCTGTCTATCCCATAATATGTACCCCAAGTACATTATTTCCATGACACAGAGCTGAGCCTTCTTGGCAGAGACCTTATACCCCAATCGGTCCAAGGTCAAGAGCAAATCTCTGGTGGCCTGAAGACAAGTGCCCTTATCCTTAGTGGCAATCAACAGCTCATCTATGTACTGTAGGAGGCTTACCTCTGGGTGCGAGGCTCAATACTCCTGCAAGTCCTCATGTAGAGCCTTGTCAAAGATCATGGGGGAGTTCTTGAACCCCTGTGGCAGTCGTGTCCAAGTGAGTTGTCTGTTAAACCCCTGGTTTGGGTCTCACCACTCAAAGGCAAAGATGGGTTGGCTTTCCTTTGCCGAGGTTGGCCTAAAGAAGGTGTCCTTGAGGTCTAAAATAGTATAGACCCTTCTCTCCAGAGAAAGTGAGCTCAGCAGGGTATACGGGTTGGGGACTGCAGGGTGGATATCCTCTACCCTCTTGTTAACTTCTCTCAAATCCTTCACTGGGTGGAAATTGTTAGTCCCTGGTTTCTTGACAGGTAGGAGCAGGGTGTTCCACGGAGATTGGTATGGAACCAGATTACCAAACTCCCTAAGGCGATTTATGTGTTTGGTAATTCCTGCCGTGGCTTCGAGAGTCATCAGGTACTGTTTTACTCTTACAGGCTGAGCATTAGTTTTTAAAGTCACCATTATTGGTGGCTATTGGATGGCCCTCCCTAGGGACTTAGTTCCCACCCAAACTCCAGGGATTGTTGCCTGGAGGTCCTTGAAGATAGTGGTTGGTCTCTTTTGAGGGGGTTGGGCATGCACTCTCCATTCTTCTTCTAATTGTATCCTGAGCACTCACTGGGGCTCCATAAGGTGGCAGGAGTAAATCCTCCTCTGGCGCCAAGGGGAGGACCTCGGGACCTGATGGGTTTTTGGTCTGGGCTTTCTTCAGGGGAAGCAAAGTGGCTGACCCCTTAGGCCCCAATGGCAGGGGCGGCAGTAAGGGATGCAGCCAGTTGGGTGGGGCAGCAACCAGATATTGTTAACCTAGGATGTAGGGGATATGGTCAGGGTGCCCCGGTTCCCTGAAGATAACTCCTTGAACCCTGTAGATGAGGGACAGGTTACAGGACCCTTCAGTCAGCCATTTGACTTCAAAGGAGGGCCATTCGATGGTGCAGAGGGTCTGGGGGTGGGTCAGCTTGACACAAAGTCCAGACATGTCCAAAGCTGCTCATTTGTAGTCCTGAAAATGACTAAGAACTAGATCAAGGGGAGCTGAAGATGATGAGACTTTCTGGCCCATCATGAGATAAGCTTCAAGAAAAAAGAATATAAGGAGAGGAAAGAGAATGAGAAGTAGGATGGAAAGCCGATAGACAAGGCAGAGCTCTGAGCAGAGGGTGAGGACAGTATGAAATGGCAGCTCCCTAGAGGGAGAAATGAAAATCTCACAGCGCATGGAGTCAGCCAAGAAGGCTGCCCCTGTCCCTTTCCCCAAAAGATTTGGCCAGCCTGGATTCCACATCAGACTTGACTAGAATCTTGTGTCTGGCCCACCCGGATTCCACATCTGGCTGGGCCAAGACTCTGGGTCGGTCCCGCCTGGATTCCACGTCAGGCTGGAGCATGACCCCTTATCAGAGGAAGAGTCAGGGCATCCCCCGTTCTCCTCCAGCTCTGGGATCAATAGTGTATCTGCCTGCCCAGGATGTCCAGACTATCAAAAGTCAAGAGAGAGAGAGAGAGAGAGAGAGAGAGAGAGAGAGAGAGAGAGAGAGAAAAGCAGGCAGAACTTACCAAGGCCGGCTCCGGTGGTGCTTTCGTGGGTCTGGGGTCTCTATTCTCATATCCCGGATGAGCCCCCAAAATGTTAGGGTTTGAGAATTGAGAATAATTCCCACAGATACCCAAAAAGATTATACAAAAAGTTTATTCAAGAATTTAAAGTTAAAAAAAAAAAAGATTATTCAAAAAGTTTATTCAAAAATTTAAAGTTAAAAAAAACAACAACCAAATGGCAGCTAGCTGGGCAGAGACTACATGAGCCAAAGATGGAGTCTGGCCTCGAACAATAGCAGGCAGGGGCTTTTATTGGGGAACTCCACAGAAACCCACGTGCACCAAGCATCTTTTAAAAATAATTGGATGTCCTTATATCCTGTGTACAGGGGAAGTCTTGATTGGTAGGGGCTGTCTTCAGGACATTGGAATGTACTGACTGACATATTTTAGAGCCAGAAGTTTTTGTTCATGCCATATAAGGTTTTTTCTTGCTCTTCAGCAGATAGATCTCTTTAGGGTTCAGGAGCCAGGGACTGTCCAAAGGTATACACAGAAGGCAAAGGATAGAAAGGCTATACTTGGGATCCTATAGAAAGGGCTGATAGGTCAGAGGGTCAGAGCTTGAAGCAGAGGTTGGTATTAATGCTGCTCTGTTGTGTGATCCTGGGCAAGAGACCTCACGCCTGTGATCTCACTTGTGTTATCATGTGTTATAAAGAATAAAGAGCAAGGAGAACAGGCTGGTTCCTAAGGAATGCCTAGCTCTAATGTTCTAGGCAGAATGGATCCAATTCCAAGTTCCCAGAATTCCCTACATTATCGAGTGCTTCCATTTGTAAAGTTTCAAAACTGAGAGTTTATAGAATAGAATATCCAGTCTAGCTCCCAAAGAGGTCACATTAAAGCTTAGAAGGCCCAGAAGACAGACTTCTGTTTCCAACATGGAAGCAGTAGTGGGGTTCTAAGGATCACGTGTCCCACTTGCTCTATAGCATCCATTTGACGAAACTCCAGGGGGCCAACCTTGCTTTCTGGAATTTCAGATGGAATTAGCTGTGAACTTAAAAGAGGAGGCAGCTCAATCCCTGACCCCCAAAACAGTTCTTCACTCTATTCTACCTCAGAGAGGTATCTCATGTCACAGCTTGTATTCTTCCTGTAGGACAATTTACATATGAAAGTAGAGGTTGATTGCAGACCCAAGGCTTCAAAAACTGAATCCTGTTTCTAAACATCAAAGAAAGGACCTCACAGTCTGGACATGGCTACCTATACAACTTGCTGAGGCAGCTGGCTAACTGGGAAAGAAGGATTCTCACTAGGCTTATAAGCAACAACTGTAGTCACATACTCATGAAACTCATCAAAGAGAAACAGGGTCCTAGTAGATAAGGTCTTGTAGAAAAGCCATGCATCCATTTGAAGCTAGTTAGTACAGCCCTGAGGGCTAGCACCCTATTTCTATTTGCTTGGGTTTGTGAGTATATAAATACCACTGTTCATTCTAAGCTTCATATAGCCCTCAAAGGCCTCAAAGGAGGTAAACAGTCAGTCATCCCCCTTCTGTATCAACACATGTACAATCTGCAACAACAAGGTGAAGGTGACGGCCTCACTGAAATGTCTCCCACACAGCAGTCCTTTGTGCAGCCTGTTCTCTTGGTATGATACCCAGGTCCTAGGGAGTCTCTCTCTAGCCCAAACTACTGAGTTAGGGATTTACTACTCTCCTCTGGCTCCAGTGCCTGTGCTAACCTTTAATCTGCAATCTTCAATTTGATAACGAAAAGTTATATTACAACTTTTTGTATTCATACATAATCTTATTTTAGGCTTATATTATTTTAAAGTTTCTTTTGTTTCACTTACTAGAGAGATACCTTGAAATATAACCCTGGGATGCTTTACTATGTTTTATTGCTCTGTGATGTTTTCACTACCATGGGATGTTTTATTACTCCATAATATCTTGAAGCCCTGTGATGCTTTCCATTCACTATGCCTGTGGATACAGTGAAACAAAGAGAATAGAAAGTTCACCAAATGGTTTAATGGGGCACCTGGTCCAATTAGCCCAAGAAAAGTGTAGATCAAACATGCCAGATACCTAAACTTCTGCCAATGGTATCTGTTTTTGTAAACTACAGTGACCACAACTATTTAACCTATCCTAGCCCAATTAGCCTGGCTAGATATAGCTCAAAAGGCAGCAGATGTCCTGACTTGTGCCTGGGATATTTACTTTGTAAACCATGATGACTCAGTGAACTCAGGAAAAAATTTTCCTGAGATAATGTGTCCCATCATGAAAAGAAACATAGGGCTGGGGTGCCAGCCATAAAATGATGATGTAAAAATGCCTACTTAACCCCCATCTGTACTTCTGTTTAAGGCAAAGGAAATCTTGAAGGCTTCTGGGATCACATGCATGAGACTGAATAAACTAGCTTTCCAACTCTCTCTTTGTAAATGCTTGATCTCTTAGGTGTTTGAAGAACTTTTCCATAACATCTTCAAAGAATGAGTGGCATGGGTGTGCAGAAACTTCACGTTTGGGAGTCACATAGACCAGGTTTAAGCTTATCCCTGTTTGCTTACCTGTACCTTGGGCAAGGTTTGCCAGCTCCAGCATGTCTTACATGTAAAACACTCTCTGGGGACTTGCAAGGCGAATTTTCAGGTGCACCAGGTGACTGGGGAAGGCATCCACCTTCAGCTCCCCTCGGAGCTCCACAAGGTCGCTTGCATCTGTAAGGAAACACACCGTTTCTTAGTCACTGGGGGACTCCTTTACTGCAGTCCTTGCCTAGTGCTTTGCCTACAATAAAAATTACAAAAATTCAAATGAAAGGTAATGTGCCCTAGAATGCGGAGCCCAGCTTGGATCTCCCGGCAATTCTCAGCAAGGCTCTTTATGAAAGCCAAAAAACACTGCCGCCCTCTGTCTTTTCAACAAAGAACTGTTCCCTGCGCTTTGGAAACTGAAAGTTAAAACAGGGTGAGGGAGCTGAATGAATCAAGAAACCAAAACTGTTCTCTTTTTTTCCTCCTAGAATTAGGCAAAACAGCAAGCTGCTCACTAAGCAGGGAACCGCATCGTGAACCTCTGAGAAGGAGAGTATTGCTCTAGATACCAGTACATGGGAGCAGACGTTTCAAGGACTGATCCAGCAGGAGAAACCTTGGGCCAAGTGGACCTTGCCGTTGGATAAGAACATTGTGCCACATGGTGGGGGCTCTTGGGTGAAAGCTGTACGAGCAGAGAGCACTTGGCAGGTGAGTCAGGTCTGGGCAGCTGGTCCTCCTGAAAGCCTCAGTGAGAACAGAGGTTCAGCAGAGTACTGATCTAGTGCTCCGACAGCTGTGACTCAGTTCCCCAGCAATTTATGGTCATTATGCTCTTTAGGGTCCCCTAGACGCCAAGCTTCCATCTTGTTTTTTTCTTTTACTAAATAAATTCCTGGAAGTCTTTGAAGAATGTCTCCAGGTTCCCTGAGTCTGCTCTCTTACTCTGTTGTTACTGGAGTCCCAGTCAGAAAAGACCTGGCTTTGGGTCCAGCTGCTCACACCTCTTACCAAGGGAAAAACCACATAAAATATATAAAGTGGTAAAATGGATTTATTGACACTTTAAGTCCAAACTGGGGACACAGCTATTCTGTCTGCCTCTGCCTTCCACACAGTAGTGTGACAGTTTAAAGAAAGGATGAGACAAAATCAGCATGGATATGTTGCCAGGAACTTTAGGGTTGTCTTGCTGCAGTTGCCAGATCCTACAAGGGAAATTGTGGTCCTATCTTGGGGTCATTGATCTCAATAAAAAAAATTTAAAAATAGACTCAGATGGAAGCAGAGGACAATTTTATTAGCATTTAAAAGAGAAAACCATAGGGCAGATGAGCTGTAAATCTCAGCAGCTGCCTGAAGAAAGGGAATGGCGAAGGAAAGTAGCCTTATCCTTAAAGCCAGGACCGGCATGTAGTAGAGAAACAAGGCACATGGTGGTGAGGGAGACTTTAGAGAAAGTGTGAATTCAGAGGGTCAGCAAAAGCATGCTTTGAACAGAGACAGAAAGAGAAAAGGAAGCTACGATATTCTGAGCAATTCAGAAAGGTGGACAGGCTTAAGATGAAGCCTGATGGTGGTAGCCCTGTGAGTTACTACACTGGGAGCAGGAATTCTGGGAAGGAAAATTGTCTACTGGAGGTGATGTGCGTGTAGATGTAGATTATCATGGTTGGTTTCAAATGACCTAGGATGGGAAACCACTTGTGCTGTATATTCGAAGCAAGCTGTATATACCTTTTATCATTCGGTTTTCTTAGCTGGATATAGGGCATATGAGGAATGACTTAAAGATAAAATGAGATAACACCGAAAGGCATCAATTAGTGTGTGTCTCACAATGCTAGTAGTTTATAGATTTTGTGTTACCATAATGAAGAAAAAATTTCACTACAGATAGTAGACATTCTCTTTCAAGACTTCTACAGGTTTTTTTTTTGTTGTTGTTGTTGTTGTTGTTTTTTACTAGCAGAGAGTCAGACTCAGTGGTTAACAAGAAATTATCTAAAACACAATGCCCCTTGCTCCTGTTTGTTTGTGGCTTGATCAGTCCAAACCACATGACGTTTTCCACCTTGACAGGGATTCTAGAGACAAACCAGTTCCCTTCAGGTCAACAATCGGCTGAGGCTTCTTCCTTCTGCCCACAGGTGCCAGTGTTCCATATGCAACTGAAGCTGGACTTCTGTTCAAGTGAAGATCCTGTGCCATATGTACTGGAAGCCCTGGAACTCTCAGGGCCAGGTACTTATGCAGAGTTTTGCTCAGAGATGCCAGAAGTGTTCCAGGTCTCAATTTGAGAATCCCAAGTTCCCCAAGAAGAGTGTCACAGGGATTCTGAAGGAGTTGGTGGAGTATATTCTTGAGAGATACCAAGGGCATGGCTGCAGGAAGATGCCTGAGACTAGGAAGGTACTTTTGGAGGAGAAGGTACCTTTGGATGGGCTCCATGACATGGGCAATTGTGAGGCATGCATCCTGGGCTACCATGTAAGAGGCTCTGGAAAACACAAAGCAAAACCATCCCTACCACCTTCACTAAAAACACCTAGTTACTCATCTCAGTTTGGCAATTTCCTTTATGAAGAGCCTGGTGAGTCCCAAAGTCCAGCTCAATGGATCTTGATTTTCTTTCTCGTCATTTTCTTTCTTTGTGTCCTTATTTTTGATGCATGTATTAGAAAATGGGCTCTGTCATCTTTCATTTTACTTCCATGATTATCAGTAAACTGTCATTTTAACATGACAGAGAATTTTTGATTTGAGATCAAGGAAGATCAAGTTTATGGAATGAGGCTGGTTTCCTGGACATTCTCTGAAAATAGCTCAAAGCATGACTCACATAGTGGACCCAATAATAAACATGCATTGAATCACCGAATGGCCTTCATTCATTCACATGTTCGTTTATTATCAGACTATGTTAATCACATCTTGACAAGAAATAGTGGTCATGGGCACTATCAGAAGTTACTGTGGCAGGCTGAATCATGCTCTCCCATGAAAAATGTTCTTACCCTAATCTCTAGGATATGTGAATATGTTATATAATGCCAAAGAATGGACTTTGTAGACATGATTAATTAAAAAATCATGAGGTAGATAATTTTGCATGATCTAGATGAAGAATAATGTCTTCTTCTTCTTCTTCTTCTTCTTATTATTATTATTTTATCTTAAGGGTCCCCCCCAAAAAAAACCCCACATGTATTGAAGGCTTGGTCCCCAGATGATGGTGTTATTGGGAGGTGGTGAAACACTTAGGATGTGGACTTAGAGGAGATGGGTCATTGGGAGCATGTTATTTTATTATTTTATTTTATCTTATTATTTTGAGACAGTGTCTCTCCATAGCCCCAGCTGGCCTGGAATTCACTATGTAGACCAGGCTGGCCTGGAACTCGCAGAGACTCATCTGCTTCGTGAGTGCTAGGATTAAAAGCATGTGCCACCATGCCCAGCTTAAATATTTTATTTATTATTTTCATTTTACGTGTATGAGTGTTTGCTTCCATGTATGTAAACGTACATATGTTGTGCAATACCCATGGAAGCCAGAAGAGGGAATTGGATCCCCTGGAACTAGAGTTACAGATAGTTGTTAGCTACCATGTGCATTCTGGGAACCAAACCCAGGTCCTCTTCAAAAGTGCTCAGTGCTCTTAACCACTGAGCCATCTCACCAGCCCCAGGGGGCATGTTCTTGGAAAGCATATTGAGGCCATCCCTCCTTCCCCTCTCTTTTCTTACTTCCTGGCCACCCAGGAGGTGAGCAGCCAGCTCTGCCACGTACTCAACATCATAATGTTCTGCCTCCTGACAGTCTCCAAAGCAACAGGGTCAAGTAACCACGAGCTAAAATGTCTGCAACTTGGAGTCAAAATAAATACTCCCTCCTTTAAATTGATTTCTCTCAGGTATCTGGGCGTACATGTCAGGTATCTGGGCATACATGTCAGGTATCTGGGCGTACATGTCAGGTATCTGGACGTACATGTCAGGTATCTGGGCATACATGTCAGGTATCTGGGTGTACATGTCAGGTATCTGGACGTACATGTCAGGTATCTGGGCATACATGTCAGGTATCTGGGCGTACATGTCAGGTATCTGGACGTACATGTCAGGTATCTGGGCATACATGTCAGGTATCTGGACGTACATGTCAGGTATCTGGGGGTACATGTCAGGTATCTGGGCGTACATGTCAGGTATCTGGGCATACATGTCAGGTATCTGGACATACATGTCAGGTATCTGGGCGTACATGTCAGGTATCTGGGGGTACATGTCCTTATAAGAGGGAGGCAATAAGGAAACATCTGGAAAGGAGATGTGAGGATAGAACCACAGGTTGGAGTGATGTGTTCTGAAGATGAAGGGAGGGGTCACCATCAAAGGTAGAGGTAAGCTTTCAGAAGCTCAAGCAGGTGAGGAAACGGAACCTCCAGAAGAAACCAATCTTGCTGTGGCATGTATGTGGGTACATGCATGCCATAGCGTGTGTGGAGGTCAGAGGACAATTTGGGGGAGTTGATTCTTTTTTTCCACCGTGTGTGTTCCTGGGATCATATTGTCAGGTGTGGTGGCAGGTGCTTTTACCAGCCAAGCCTTTTCGCTGGCCCATCATCACATGACTTCGGCTTAGTGAGAATGACTTTGGACTTCTGACCTCCAGAACTATGTGATAGTTCAACAGCAACAGGAAACCAAAATAATTATCGCTATCACAGAAGGAGTCAGGTTTTAGGTATGCCTCAGTTTTTATGGAAAAAAGAGCATAAATTTATTAGAAATATTAACCCTTCCTACCCCCTATTGTCCTCCCCTCCTGTGAAACCCACTCGGATGTCCTCTAACCGGCTGATTCCCTTTGATTTGATGCTATCTGGAGCTATCACATTCTCATGCTTCTTTTGGGATTGGTTGAGAAGCATGCAAGAACTTGGCAATCCTGGGATGCCATGATAGACCACTGTATCTTTTCCTTCTAGCTCCGTCTGTCTGCTAGGCATTTCTGTGTGGCTGCCACACTGTTTCGGATATATTACCATGTCTAAAAACAAGCTCACCAGAATGTCTGACCTTCCTGTCTGTCACCCAAGCTCCTCACCTCAGTAATGTCTCACTGCCTCCACCTTCGTCATTGTCACTTCTGTTGTAAGTTGTTCCTGTCTCCACCCTCCATGTTTCCCTATTGTTCCTTCTCACTACTTAGTCCAGAATTACTCAATAACTAAGAGTTCTGCATTTTATCCACAGGCAATGAGGAGTGATTTTGAGATTTTTAGATACTTTTTTATGTGTATGAGTGTGTTGCCTGCATGTGTATAAATGCACCCATGTCATGCAATGCTTGCGGAGGTCAGAAAGTGGCATTGGATCCCCCTGGAACTGGAGCTACAGATGGTTGTTAGCCCCCATGTGGGTGCTGGGAATCGAACCTGGATTCTCTGCAAGAGCAGCCAGTGCTCTGAGCCACTGAACCATCTCTCCAGCTGCATGTAATTTTGGAAATTTGTAGACATGAACAATTTGAGTAGAACCGCATGGTAAAACACTGTATACTTCAGGGAAGCAATGGTAAATAGACCAGGACAGTGGCTTGCAACACGACAGTGGTAAGCTCAGAAAGAGGCCCTGGGAGACAAAGAATATCCTAAAGTAATTTTAACAGTGAAGCATAAGAAGCCAAAAATCTTGATGACAAAAATATATTTCCATTTCCTGTCAGGCCACCCCTACCATTCTCTATTCAGGCCCCTCTCCCAAACCACCATGCTGACTTTGTGTCTTGTTTCCTTAACCCTTCACTTCTTTCACAGAAAATAGCAGCCTAGAGGCTTCATTTATAACCTGGTTGTGCTCAAGCTGGCTCAGCATTATCCTTCCCTGGGACTCAATTTCTCCATGTGAAAAACAGGCTAAGATAAAATACAGAGGATTGAACCCAGCCATTTACCTTTGGTCTCTCTCAAAACACTGAATGACAGTAAAAAAGGGAAAAAGATCAAAAAGCAAAAGCAAGTGGCAGTAACGGATCAGGCAGAGCAGAGAGATCAAGAATAGAAGTTAAGAACGGGAAAACCAAAATGCAAATTTATGTGTCACTTTTAGAAAGGCTCTGAAACTATAGGCAGCTGTAAAGAGAGACACAGGAAGACTGAACAAAAGGACCAGTGGAAAGCCTTTCAAACAAGTATTTCCCACCCTCCTTCCATGAAGGGATTCTGTGCTTTGTAAATTCCCCAGGGGAAAGGGGGCCACCCAGTTCCATTTCCATCTAATCATCAGAATGGCGACTTTAGCTGCTGGTATCTTAGATGTGACCGGTTCTAGCTGGACATGGTCTTTTTGCTGAATTCTCACCATAGCAGCTCTTAACCTACAGGCTAAAGAACGAATGAGAGTCTTGACCGACCATCTGACCAATGGATGGGGGCACATGCATTTCAACTGTACTTTTGAGGACTAGGAAAATGATTCCTTGGTAAATCCACGGAAGCAGGGAAACGTCTGAGAGACTGGCCTGAAGCAAGAGTCCTTTTCTTACCTCAGTCCCAATCTCACAGCAGGCCCTTTGCTCCACGTGCTCAGGAAGCATTAATCGATCCAAGCCTTGACTCCAAGCTTTCTCAAGATGCCTGGGGATTCTGAACATTCCCCTGGGATGTAGTTACCTAAATAAATGTCTACTTGTTCACCTGGGGAGGGACTGGAGGCTCTTCCTGCTAAGGAGCCATTTGGCATTTTAGTCAGTGAGTTATTGAAAACTGGCTCAGGTCTTAATTGAAGATGTAGTCTGGATCTTTTAAATCAGGTCAGTTGCTCTGTGACTCCTTACCACCCATATTTTTTTTCTTTTGATTGTATAAATTAAAAAATACCCTTACTAGAGTCCTACTTATTTGCTCATACAGTGGGAATCTTTAAGATTAGTCCATAAGGCCCAATATCCAAATAATATGAGCCCCAGAAAGTGAAGGCAGAAATGAAGGGAAGGAAATTATAAAGTAAATCATCTAAAAATTTCTCCTAGAATTGGAGGATAGGACTTCCTGATGGGAAGGCATTATGATTTGAATCTTAAATTCCACTGTGTTATGAATGCTTGGTCTCTGGTTCGTAGTGCTATTTTTAAACTCTGGGGTACCTTTAGGAGGTGGGTCTGACAAGCAGAAGTAGGTCACTAAGGGCAGGCCTTGGAAGGTTATCCCTACCCTATTTCTTATCATGTGAGCAAACGTTTTCCCCAGGCCATGGACATAACCCATCTACCTACCTTCCCCACCAAAAAAAATTTGAATCCCTCTGAATTGTGGGTGAAATAAATATCTTCTCCTTTGTTGCTATCAAGTTTTTTTGTGACATCAGTGCACAAGTAACTAACTGGGAAGGGCTCACTGAATTGCTGGCTTTACAATGAATGAACAGAGTTGCACCAAGACAAATCATTCTGAGATTTCTGACCCCGGCTGTCAAGAAGAGGCGTAGATCTTTGTGTATGTGTAATCTGTGTAATGACTTTCTCTTTTGCATCAGTTTTTCTGTGTTTTTGCCCCTGCCTTTCATATTAAAGGGTTTCCTCAATGATCAAATAATTCTTCTCTCAAATATGACGCTACAATGCTGATTGGAATACTGAAATCAGAAATCAGCCTTCAGAGTTCTAAGGGAAAATTATTTCCATTAGAACATTCCATACTCAAGACAAAATTTGAATAAATGAAGATATAGAATCAGTTTCATTTTCAGATACTCAAAAAGCAGAAAAGTTACCTCCTTTGCTTGTTCCTGTTTTCAGGAAGTTTCTAGAAAATCTGCTCCCAAAAGACAAGGCTCTGCCAAATCACATGGCTCTGTGGCGAGGGTGTCC